GCTGCTTGCGACTCAACGGCCGGTGGACGGGTTGGAGACACTTCTTTGGCTGGGTACGATTAATGCAGCGGAAGCGGTTGACGCGTTGGCACCACCGGTGGATGTTGGTAGGCGTCGGCTGTCAGAGGACTCGATTCGGCGCCAGGAGATCCAGCACGCACCTTGAACACGCATATGCCATAATAATCAGCCATATGGACGTCAGTCAGTTATGTTCCCCTTAACAGGGACATTCTGAACAGCAAGTTACCAGAAATTGACGGGCTTTATGTCAAATTGATCCCTCGAAGATTTTTCCAGAATAGCTTCCCAACGGCGCGGCGAAGGCGCGCCAAATTTTGCATAGCTATAGAAAATTGAATGGCGCATCGTTTGGCATACAAAAATTAGATGTTTCTTGTCAGGTCGCTGACCTATGGTGCGTCAAAGCCAGGCCATGGTTTCGGCAAAGGCAATTTCTAGGGAATCATCCAATCTGATCCAACAACGGAGTAGACAAAGCCATCCATCTCTGAGATGCTTTCGTAGGCAACACAGCAGATGAATGAGAAAATTACATTGACCTAAGGTCAGGCATGACGGTCACACCAAGGTCAAAACCAACCTGTTTTGTTACTCTAGGGCTTGCTGTATGAGATAGGTTCTGATGCTTATTTCGAGTTTTTTGATACCAGGAACCGCATTATACATCTTCCATGGACTTCTTAGAGGTCATAATAGGTCATTGACCTAAAATGGCCCAGGTCAACATTTTGTTTTAGGAACATACTGCCTAGCTTAATCTTTGTCGCTTAAGTCAAATGCAAGACTCAAAGCAATATTGCATGATCTTGGTCACCTTGACCTTCAGAAGGCCAAACAAGGTCACTGACCTTGAATGAGTATGTGAAGTTTTGCTTAGAAACCGTTATCTATGTTTGGGGGTACTTTGGAGACCAACCTGGAACTTGACTTGTTTGACTATTTGTGACCCAAAGGTCATGACCAACGGATCTGAAACTTTGGCTTATGTGATGTCATGTACAGGTCAACTTACCCTGTACATTTGGTGTTTCTAGCTTTCTTAGTTTCCGAGATCTCAGGGGGTCAAATTGCCCCCCCCCCCCCCACCACCACCACCCGCGCGAAGGGTATCTAGCCGGCCACCCGGGCGTGTGTTAAATGTTGGTTATTTTATCAGACGGCGTTTGCTTTTGCACTGCTGCAATATTACCAACATTACAATTCTTCAGTTGATTAACATAGCACCTGAAATTCGCAGAGCAGCTGCAGAAAACGAGCCTGAGTCCACTCGATCCAGACCTCTAGGACGGGCGTCGCAGCGGAAAGAAACCAACATATTTGCTTACAGATGGGTAGGCGTATCCAGAAGCGTAGGCGGTGCGTGCAGCGTCACGCTCTGTAGTGTCACGCTCTGTAGTGCGCAAACCAAGGACCCGACCGTGTAAAGCCATTTTCAAACAATGGTGTTAAATCTCGGCAGCCAAAACAGCTAGAAACTTGACACAATATGCATGTTGAAAGCAAATGCGTTAGCTACAACTTGCTGCAACTCAGTGACGGTTCCAAAACTGTTCAATCGATAGACTTCCCAGCGACTGACAGGGGGAGAAGCCCTTACCCGCATTGGGAGAGCGCAGTAAAGCTATTGTCAAACTGTCACGAAGTTCGCAAATAACTGACTATTTGTGATGTAATAAGCAGAAACGGTTCGCGCTGGCTTCGCTGTGCGAAGAGGCGCCATTGTTGGTGTCCACGACGTAAAGTTTCACAAATCTCTCAACAGTGTGGAGTGGAACATAAATAGCATGAGAAGCCAGAACTTGCCTTTTGGGAAATGTATATATATATATATATATATATATATATATATATATATATATAATATAATAATCTCCGAACATAATAATATATATAATATAATAATCTTATAATCTCCGAACCTCTACGAAGTGGCAGTCTTAGGTACGAGTGTTTCGAGTGAAATGGCCGTAGCACTTAAAATGACAGTTGCATAAATAATGAAACTATCACTGACACTGAAAATCATGTCAACGTACCAGAAATGTACACAGCAGTAAATACTATGAATACATGGCTGCACTAGTGCATCATCCGGAATATTTTGCATGCATGGGTTTGAGTCACTAGATGCGTCATAACACAGGTCATCGGGCAAAAGCATCTATGACATTCTTACGAACACAGTATCATCAGGCATTTCAGCGCTCCGGCACGACTGTGGCGGGCCAGGTTAACCCTTCCCTGCCAGATGCTCATGAAAGAAAACTGCGGGTGACTGAATTTGTAGCTGGTACCGCTGAATTGCGTGCTCAGTGTACCGCAGAACGTTAATCCAATACATGGAATAAGTTGCTTTCATAATCCTTAAATATATCATACAATGCGATGTGCGATGTACAAACTTAAAGCCTTCAAGGCAAAAGTTCAGGCTCTTTGAGCCGATACTCCAACTGCCAAATATTTACCCACTGCGACTCTAAGGTGACTATACCTTTCGAATGCGGTGCTCCGTTTGAAAAGGTTGCGGTAGCGCTCCACTCTCTTCTTATTGGAGATGCGCTCACGCCGGTTGGTGGGGCACCGCTCCCGTTCCACCACCACCTTCCAAAATCGCCTGTCCAGCACGTCAGTTGGCTTACTAAGGCTTCGCAGCGCCTGACAACACATAGTATGCCCACTTAATCAAAAGGTATAAATGCGATGTGCGATAACAGGCGATACAGGTGAACCAGTGGAAAGTTCTTCTTCTGACGACATACTGAAAGAGTGTAACGCATCGTAAAAGCGCGAACTTTGACACATGCAGATTGGGATGAAGCCAGTTCGAATGTAATGAGCATGATATATTTAGCCGTCAGAGATATAAATATTAATGATAAGGTCGGCACAGGTTTGTTGAATTGGTCTGACTTCGGGCTACCATGCAGCCATAACACCAATTAAGCTGTTAAGCATATTTCTTCAATGACGATTCACATGACAGATTTCGAAACAAATGTTTTCCGACCGTTGGGTGGGGGAGTGGAAGTTACGTTTATTAACACGCGCCCGGGTGGCCGGCTAGATACCCTTCGCCCGGGTGGGTGGGAGGGGGGGGGGTCAATTTGACCCCCCCCCCTCCTGAGATCTCAGGAACTAAGAAAGCTAGAGACACCAGTTTGCTTGACCTGTTCGTGAACTCATTTAGGTCGAAGTTTGAGCTTCTTAAGTCATGACATTCAGGTCACATGGGTCAAACAAGGTCAAATTCCAGGTTGGTCCCCAAAGTGCCCCCAGAACCTAGGCAAATGTGTCTAAGCAAAAGGCCACCAGCCCATTTGAGGTCAGTGACCTTGTTTGATCTTTTGGAGGTCATGGTGACCAAAATGATGCAGGACTGCTCTGAGTTTCTCCTTTGAATAAGCGACAAAGATTACGCTTGGCAGTATGTTCCCAAAACAAATTGTCGACCAGGATCATTTTAGGTCAATGACCTGTCAGTTTGACCCCCCACCCCCACCCCCCCCTCCCGAGCGCGTGTTAAGCAACCATTGAGC